TAAAATTAAGAAGCTCGTTAATTAATTATATTAATTCGTCTTATTTAATTACTAGCCGAATTAACTAAAATAGTTCAATTTGGCTAGATTGTTAACTCATCTACCTAACCCTTTATTGCAATTCTAGCCATTTATTCCCCCACCCTAACTCAAATTTGAGACCAATTTTGGCCCAATTTCCAATCTCCCCATTCCAACCCATCCTTAGCCCAAAAGCTGGACCAATTTTATACCAAAGACCCACCCAACAATACAACATACATCAGCAGCATACAATCCATACATTACATTCCACAACAATATAATAATACAGCAGTACCAAATGACCCCTGTACGTTTGGTCTTCTTCTTCCGTCATCGTCCAGCAAAATCCAGAACAATCCAGCCCACCCAAATAACTCCAGACCCGGCCATTTCCTTAATCTAAAAAGAAACCCAGCTTCACAACAATACACTACGGCAAACACAACCCCAACGATAGCAACAAAGGCGAGAAATAGTACAGCAGTCCAAGACGTACTCTGCGAATTTTTCTTTCTTCTCTAACGTCTTTATCCGCATTTAATATCGTAACAACAAAGGGAGCACGCGTCTACCCTCCTTTCCTCTTCCGGAAAGAGTCAAAATTGCAGGAAAAAGGGTGTTTCCCTTAAATGGTGAAATAATTTTTGAGTTTGAAATTCAAGTTGGCCCTAATTCCATCCGGATTCCCCCCAAAAATCTACCCTAATTTCCTCTATATAACATCTTTTCCATTCATTTGTAAGGGGGGAATTTTTTCGGAAGTGAAATTTGGTGTTAGAAAATTCATTTGGAGGGAGAAAGTTAGAAAAAATAGACGTTGGAAACAACTCACATTGAGGGGGGAAAATACAGAAAAGTTGGAAAATGTGGGGATGAACAGCCATTAGAGATGAAAATACAGTAAACATTTCTAGTTATATACTTATATTTAAGTACTTATAGGTTCGGAATCGACTGAGAATCTAGATTTCGCTGAGTCCTCTTCTCATTTACTTTCGATCTGTTCCTCGGAATTTTTGGAATCACTTTTCAGCGGTGAAAACTCGTCATTGCTAGCTCGTTCGTTCCGGTTCGCTGCCTATTATAAGGTAAACGCCCTTCTCTCAATTTCGTTCGATTCATTCCTAGTTCTTCTACGTTTCTCTGTTAAGGTATTTGTAATTGTGTTTTAGTCTGCATGTGTTAGGTTTATTTATATTAATGGTATGTATTTCTTTGCTCTGCTTGAAGTTTTTGCTATTTGTTTCGTCAAGAGATGTGACAGAGATCTCAGTTTCCTTGTTCTCTTTTTAAGATTGGGGCTTAGCTGATAGTGTTTCTATTACTGTATAAATTTCATGATCCTCTTTCCATTTGGTTTATGTCTTATGCCTGAGTTTATGTGTCCACTTGAATGATAATTTCTCATTCAATTTACCGCTCTTCCATTAAGTTCTGTCGATATAGGATATAGATATGTGTGTGGTGTTGGTGGCTAGTTGTTATATTTGTAAGTTCGAAAATGTTATTTTTTGCTCGAAATCGTTGAAGGTTGATACCCCTTTGGTTTCAACGTTGGTTGCTATTATTGTTTCATCTCATCGTGCTATGATGCTTTCATGAGTATGTTGTTGAATCAGTTTGCTTTTGTTTGCATTTTGCTCCATGTATCGATCTCTTCTACTACCTAACATGATCCATTTTGATCAAGTCTATTGCTCTTTCCACCTAATACCTTAATTTTGTTAAAACTTAAGCTTTGCCTTTAAGATTACTTGGAGTGAATTTATTGGTGTTGATTTTTATGTGTATAGCATGCCGATTTTTTTTTTTCTTTAGTATTAAGTCAATCGCTAGTAGTTTAACTACATGTTGTATGGTCTTTGTATTGGTCTGTTGTATGGAAGGAATAAGCCTCTGCCTTAATCTTGCAATAAGTAGCAATCTTTATTAGTCTCAAAATGTGGAATTTCCTTTAATTAATGATTCATAGACTCGTTCTTGGAGATTTGATTATCACCCTTAAGTTATCATAAGTTGACTCGTGTTTAACTGGCGTCTTTAATCTTTACCGATCTTGTCTGTTCTCTTCTCTTTTGTTTCAAATCTTAAATGAGATAAGCGTTGGTTTAGTATTCGTTTGTTCACTGGTAAGTATTTGATATGTTAAAAACACTAGTTTTAATTAATTAATATGAGTAGTTTGTGTGATAACTTGAGCATTAAAATAGTTGTTCCTCGTGCATGTGTCGGCTGTCATTCCTTTATCATTATACAAAGTTCCTTTCCTTCATTTGTTTTCTTACTTTTTATGAGTTATTTATTTCTTTTATGGGGATACCAAATTTGCGCTTGCATGTATTTATTATAAGTAATAGTATGGTTACAATGCACAATGACCCGAATTGGTTCTTACCTGTTTACATTTTTTATGTATGTGGAATCTGCCTGAGTCCTCATGGACTGTATCTTTGCATTTCAAAGGGGGCCATGGAGTCCCCAAAATTCCTTCTTCATCGAGTCGGCCAGTTGCGAAAATCAAAGAATAGGCCTTTGATGTTGGTGTACAGGTGTTTGGAGCTAATACAGGATTGTATGCACTAGTACACGCCTAGTGTATACGAAGATGGGAAAATGGGCCCAAAGGCCCCTAAATTCAAATTTGTATTTTGTTATTTTTGGGCCTAAGCCTTTGTCATTTTATTATTACTTGTTAGAATTTAGGACGGTTGGAAGATGGGCCAAAAACCCAAAGAAATAAACTTCAAAATCTAGTCTAGGACAGGTACTAAGGCGGCAAAAAATTGGGTCAAAAGCTCAAAACGAAAATGGGCCCAAGTGCTGGTCCAAGCGAACAGAAACCAAACTTAGGCCCCCAAAGCCTCTTTCCCTCTTTATCTTTTTGTGTTTGTTTATTTGCTAATATCCGTTATTAATCTTAAGGTTAAAAATTCAAATCCCCGAAAGACGCTTATTTCGTTTTAACAATTTTACTAAATCGATCACCTTTAAAAGGACTTGAAGAATTTTTGCAAGGAAAATATCTCACTTAGTCAATTCTTTCCTTTCCCCTTTAAAAATAAAATAAAAATGGACTTAATTATAAAATAGTATTATGTTTCAATTCAAGTTAAGTTAATTCACTTTTAGCAAAATAAATTAATTGTCGGATAACCGCACGTTAGCGGGCATTTCGGGTTCTTTCAAACCCTTCCCGAAATGCTAATAAGAACCCCCGAACCCCCTTAAGTTTTCATTAGACTCCTGTTTTAGTCTTTTGAAACAACAGTTTTCTTAATTTTACTTTAAAATTAAGTGGCGACTCTTAAACCAGTCCAATAATATATTTTCTTAATAAAACAATTGTTAGTTTTTATAACTTGCACTTGAATTTCCAAGTCCGTTTGAATCTAAAAAAAATAAAAGTGTTTGAAGTGGCTCAAGGTGCTAAGGAAACTGAAACTAGTATGCATTTTCTTTTATGTAATATTTTCTTGTTGTTACTTGTAAAGCAGTCAAAAAATTATCTTGCCTTGCTTTCATCTGCAATAGATATGTTAGCATATGATAGCATCTTTCCATAGTCATTCTTGATCCTTTGAGTGAATTTTCGAGTTAATTAATGGCTCCAATTTGCGTCATTTCTTAGAGGAAAGTGGTAGGCCCAAATATCTTACAGGAAAAGTACCCATTGTGAAACCCATAATATTTAAATTAAAAGGAGTTCTATAAGTAGTGTTCCTGCAATAAACATATTGTAAGCTTAACTTTTTTACACATTGGATGAAATCTGAAGTCTGGTAAGCCCCTTATAATCTTCAAGACCGTAGTTAAGGACTCCATAACCAATATAAATAGCAGGGGAGACATGGGGTCCCCTTATCGTATTCCTCGCTTTTCCTCGAATAACCATTTTCTACCCCATTCACCATAACAGAATACATGGGAGGTGTTACATATCATAATCAACTTCACAAAGCCATCTGGAAACCCATAACCAAGTAAAGCTTCCTCGAAAATTTCCAACTCAGCATGTCATATGCTTTTCGGAGATCAATCTTCATCAAACATCTGAGACTGGTTTTCCTATTGTAATGCCTTCATAAGTCATGTTATATTAAGACATTATGGACCATAGATCTCCCTTGAACAAAAGTTGACTGATTCTCTGCTACCAAGTAACTTACAATATATTTTAGTTTCTGACAAATCAGTTTCGAGATGACTTTATAGATCATAATACAACACGAGATAGGTCTGCACTGACTAGCATTTTCAGGAACAAGGACATTTGAGATAAGGGCAATATTAATAGCATTTATCCGTCTTCGTAACTGACCATTCCGGAGGAAATCCAACAGTTCTTTCGCAATATCTTTCCCATGATATCCCAAGCTTCTCTGTAGAAATTACTACCATAGCCATCAGGACTAGGACTGCTTTTCATATCAATACTACACACAACTTTCCTAAGATCCTTTGCATTAAGAAGTTTCAATATTTCCAATTGTTGTTCAATAGCTTGCTTCAATTGTCTCTGTTTAATAACTGGGTAAAATTACCTTGTGGGTAAAAATACCTTGTGTTTGTATCTCCAAGCCTGATCCAGTTTGCCTGACTTCTCTGTAGTAGGAACATCTCTGCTAAGTTAGAAGCTTGTTTGAATTATACCAGTTTTTTGTTGTGACTATTTTCAGCATTATTATCCTGAGTGTTTTTCAATTTATTCTTCTTTTCATTGACTACTAATTCCTTGTGATTCTATGTTGTGCCTTTTTTCCTTTGAGATTGTGTCACTATTGTCATGGGCTATTTCACCTACACCACTGCTTTCATTTGCTTTATTTAATTTCCTTTGTATCCTTCTTGTTAGTAATGGGAATGAACTTCTTATTTCAATTGACTTGCATCAAAATTTACAGGTCTGTTTGAATTTGACAAGGCTAAAAAAGTGACTGAAGTGTCTCGGCAAGATCAAGAAGTGATACTACTATTTTATTTTATTTGTGTAACTTTTTTAGTAAGATGAATTGATTTCTTGGGCATTTTGACTTACAGTTAGATTTGCAGGTTTGTTTGAATCTAGAAAAGCAAAAAAAATGGTTGAAGTGGTACAAGATGCTGAGGAAATTGAAACTAGTATGTATTTTCTTCTATGTAATTTCTAATAGTTTCTGCATTGTTACCTGTAAAGCAGCTAAAACATTATCTTGCCTTGCTTCCATAGGCCCTGAGAGTCTAAGAGTAACAAGACTTCACTGTGAAAAGACCAAATTGTTTCCCTTCCATATCAAGCTATCATCGTTGTTAATAAGATCTTTAAATGAAGTTAGGAGACCAATAAATTCTATAGAACTCTCCTTATCCCAGTCATTTAGATTCAAGTATGTTCCAGTTGTCTCCTTCTTCACTTTGTGCTACAGTGGGATTGAACTTCTTGTTTGGTTTTCCTTACTATAGATTTTGCAGGTCCATGTGAAACAGAAAGGGCAAAGAATGTGAGGGGAACAAATATTTGTAAGAATCTTTTGCGACTGAGACCTGGAGAAAACTTAAAAGTCACTTTCTATCAAAATCGAGTCGTCGGGTAGAATCACACCTCATTTACGAGACACTTGGGTTTGCTAGTTCGTGATCGTAATATGTGTCCACTCCGGGTACACTTATGGATGGACATCGAAGAGCATAAGCTTGAGCACATGTGGGCAGCTGTTACTGTAAGGATTACAACATATCTATCTCTTCTTTTTACTAATAACTGTCAAGAATCACTTTTCAAAATGTATTAGATGTTTCAGTTTGAAACATGAGACTCTTGATTTCACATTCCTTCTCCTTTAATAACAAAGTATAGTTACTCAGTTTCAATGGATAGATAAAAATTCTCACATTTCGTCTTTTCTCGTTAGCCTATTGATAGTTAAATCTCTTGCCACTACCTGCTAATAAGAGGCTTTTGAAAAGTTAACTTTATTCTTCCACTGTAATTCCTTTGGATGTTAATATTATTAATTTTATGTGGCTATAGTTAATATGATTCTGCAGTTGGTAAAAACTATCAATTATTGTTTTTCAATTTTATGTTATAATTTCAATGTGTAACCTTCATCTTAGCAAAATTTGGACATTTCTCAGCCATAGCAGTGTATTGATATGTACTTCATTAAGTATTGAGTTGACACTAACTGTTACTTGAGGACCTAAATGTTTGATAGAGGATACACCTATTCATCGAAAGCCTCTACTAAGTATATACATTTCTTGGCCTTCTTGGCAGTTTTCATTATTGATAATCTTTCTTTGGTAATGAATTGTATATGTTGTACTTCTGTCTTTAATGAATCTTTAATTTTTGTTATGTAATATGGAGTAAATCACAATTCCATAACTGCCCTGCCACAATCTACTTTTTGATCTTGGTCTAGTGTCATTGGTTGATCCATTATAGACTTTCCTTGACTTTGCCTGAGCTACTAACACCCTGCCACCTGTAACTTTCCTCCACAACTCTTTTTTCCATTGACATGACATAAATAGATGAGTGGGGTCTTTTAAATAAGGTTGATCAACACAAATCTTATTCTTTCTCACTGTATCTCCATAAATCTCTGTTTGTTAGTTGAATACACATTGGATATACACTTGTAGATCATATTACAGCATGAAGTAGGTCTATATTGACTAACATTGGCCAATGTTGAGACCTTAAGGGTAGTTAAAATTATGGTAGCATTTACTTGTTTCAACAACATCCCTATTCTGAAAATGTCATGTACAACATGAAAAGTATCTCCATCCACTACAATACATGAAGAATCTTAAAGAATAAACAACCAAAACCATCAGACTATTGAGCCATTGTTAAAGCTTGTCACTTACAAAGTCCTCGGGTTTTTTCACTCTTTTACCCATTAGCCACTTCCCTTTTAATTATGCTACTATTGTGGCATACTTTCTTTTCAAGCAGAAGAGAGATTCTATTACTATTGAATCACCTAACATAGACTAGAAATAACTAACAAAAACTTCACCTATTATCTCTCATGATCATGATGTATTTGTCCTTGCCCAACCTTGAATTTGTGTTATAGCTTTGTTTGATTATACATGAAAAATAAACGTGGCTTTACTTCTCTATAATAGAATTGAACAAGCTAAGCTTAGTGATCTCCTAAAATTTATGCTAAGTTCAATTTCTTCTCCCAGCAAGATAAGATTGCTAGGATTCTATTAAAGTAGTTTATGTTCCTTCACGTCATGCTTCAGTCCACTCGCTTGTGTTGCTATTTTACTCTCAACGCTATTTCAAACAATATACAATAGTGATGTGAGTAAGCTATAGGTTTTAAACAAACAACTTGTGGTTGTTATTTATTTGAAATTTTGATTTCTGTTCCTAAATTTTTTTTATTACTGCCCTATTAGGTGATCTATACTTTGATGCCTTGTTTTCCCTTATTCAAGAGATTTTGATGGTATTTTTCTATTTTAGGAGAAGTTTGACAGTGATGACATGAATGATCAAAGAGATAATGTTTTGCAACATATGAGAAAGCTTTGAAATAACTGGAGAGGATCATTGCACAAGAATGTGAAATCTAAATCATTGCACGAGGTTCTTAAAGATGTGCCGATGGGAGTAGACAAGAGTGATTGAGAATAGTTGGTCAAGGAACATTTTTTATCTAAGAAATTTAAGGTAAGACTTCATTTAGTTATTAACAAATATCATTTTATTTCTAGTCACATATGATTAGTTTTTTGGAATAATTTATACCATGTTCAAATTGAGTTTTGATTTCGGTAAATTTTTTTGATGTCTTCTATCCACAAGATCTACCAAAGAAAATTGCAATGGTGTTTTTTTGTGCTTCTGTTCTCTTTTACCCTCTTCCCACTGAGCTTAAAAGTACACATTAAATATAGAATCATTAAACAAGATTGTGATAATTTCAGTTGTTGTGTTGTTAATGTAGGAAGCAAGTACAAGAAACTCAGTCAATAGGTCTAAGTTGTGTATGCCTCATCGTACGGGTAGCAGGCCCATTAGAGAGATTGTTTACGAAATGGTAAATAAATTGTGCAACCCTATAAAGAAACCTCTCCTATTTCTATAAAAGATCTTATGACTTATTTTTTAATCGTGAAGGGAGGCAAAAATGGTAATCCACCAAACATGGCAACTATTTTCTTTGAGACAAGAAGGGAAATGAGCTTGTCGAACCTGAAATCGTTGAAAAATATGTATGTTTATATCAATTTTAATTTCATTTAACATCCTTCTTACTTAGTGCATTGCGTTATTTCAAATATTCTTATGTTTTATAGGTTCAAATTCACGATCTTGTACAATCTGAACCATCTCTTACTAATATTGAGGTAGTGGAAAGGTGCTTTGGACCTCAATGCAAAAGTCACGTAGTTGGATTTGGTGGTGGAATAACAACTAAGGAGTTAAAAGGCGGTACCACCTCAAAGGCTACATTGTGGGAAGAGCTAAAAACAACTCGAAAAGAAAAGGAATCACTACAAAAACGCATGGATATTCTAGAGAGTAAATATGAACACCTTGAAAATATAGTGATCCGTCAGTCTTCATCAGTTCCATCAATTCCATCAGGTTAGTAAACATTCTATTAGTTATTATTACATGATGTGTATTTGTGTGTGAATGAAATGATGTTGCTCCTCGTTGATAAGGGCTTTGTTATTGCAGTTGTGCTATGAGTTATCTGTTTTCCTTTAGTGCATTGCGTTATCTTAAATATTCTGTATATTCTGGCATTCTTACTCTAGCATTTTTGTATATAACTAAAATCAATGTCACTTTAGTTATAATATCCACAAAGCTAAAAGAATGATTTTATGTTCATTTTTGTATATACCAATGAGATTGTTATAACATCTTCAAATGTAAAAGTAGGTATCAATATGGTTATTGTTCTGTATATAGTTGTTGGTAGAAAATCAAGATCTCTCTCTGTTTAGGTCCTTGTATGACCTTGTCCTCTATAATATCACTGTCAATATAATTTGCCCTTTATTATTGTAGTACTAGTAGTTAATCTCAAACATCACACACTTTCACATTACCCTTTCTTTGTTGCCCACAACTTTAAATATATTTTGTAACACCCCAGAAAATTTTTCGAACTAAAACTTGAACCATCCTTCGTTGTGAGTAGGATTTTACCGAGGAATTAAAATTTCTTAAGTGTTAAGTTCACTAGATGTAGAAACTTGAGTTTCAAAAAGAATTAAATTGGAAATAGAAAAATCTGAAATTTTGCAAGTTATGCTTAAGTATGAGTTTTGGGTCGACTTCAAACGACCATAACTCCTAGCTCAGGATGAGTTAGGTGTGATATCAGATACCGTAGGAAAGACCTTTGAATTATCTTTCCAACGCCGCTGAGTTTGCTAAGTTTAGAGGTCGGATGAGTGAGATATGGCCTTTTTAAATTAGGTTGTCTAGTTAAGGAAAGTCAAAACCGGGTTTTAGAGGGGTATTTTGGTCTTTTCCTTACCAAAACAGATTTAATTCGTTTTTAGTAATATTTTAAGGGTCTAATTTGATTAGGTTCAGTTTTATAATCCTAGTTTACGCCTAGGGTTTTAGTTGAGAGTTCAAGAACAGAAAAGAAGAGAGAAGAGGAGAAAAGAGGAAAGGATGAAGGCGTT